ACTCATTTACCGGGTTCCCTTCATGTGGTATTCCAATATAGTTATTTCCCGGCATTTTCAGGTGCTCTATTGCAGCTTTACGCAGTTCATTTGGAGTTGCATGCCCTTCTACATCGGTCACGACCACGGAGTCAAAGGGAATAGGTGCAGTGAGTGGTGGATTCAAAATATCGGCGAGGCTCGTAGTATGGGTTTCAGTTTCATGAGCGGATTCAGTAGAAACGACAGGATTAGTATTGGTAGCTCAGGAACAGACTCCGGAACATAGGAAGACGTAGACGCAGAGATCGAGGCTGTTGGGATGACGTGTTGTATATGAAAGGGAAAAATAGTCTCATCTGGTTGACCATCAAATACACTAGCATTAATTTCTATATCTTTATAAAGTGGGTTGTGAGCTTTCAGCCATGTCAAAGCACCCAATACCTTCTCCTTACGAACAGTCAAAGGTTTAGCCTTCTTTTGAAGCCATTCTTTGCTTGGAGGGTTGGAACCAACAAAAATGACGCAGATGGGCGTGATAACCTCGTCTATGGAAGGAGGGAGGACCTTGGCAATAGCGGACGGCCGTTGAGGATAAACTATTACATGCCCTTTAACCCCACGCTGCGTGATCGGTGTCGAGTAATCATCCTCCTCTTTCAACTGAATGATCCAACATTTAGCACGGCATATGGCAATCATGGCCTCCTCTATGACAGTTAGTTCCTGAAGTTCGGAAGGGACAGGACCCAAAAAATTATAGTTGGCGAGAGAGAGTCGAGGAATTTTCCCTTTAGTGAGCGAAGATGCACAGCCTTTACACGTAAGAAGGACTGTTTCTCCTTCATCGTCTGAGCCAATTCCGTCAGCGTCAAACAGCACCCCGTCAAATTCACCATCACAGTCAAAATCGAGGGATTCATCGCAAGGAAGAGACGGATGAACACAATCAGGATCCAACCAATGGGGAGGAGGAGGAGGTCGAGGCACACTTACAACCACAGGAGGAGCTTCTGGAATTTCCATATCTACATCCATAGCACCAGAATCCACGTCCAACGCGTCCTGATCAATGTCTAATTCCATCGCCAAATCCTCCAATTCTGAATCTGACTCCGTGTCAGAGCTCGGTTTCCTGGCTTGGACGGCGTCATAATCCGGACGGCGCAATAACGTCAGATCAATGTCTTTGATTCTGAGCCTCCGCTGATTTTTCAACAATGTCCTACCAGAACAGCTACCACAAGCAAAAGTGGCAAGCTCATCTCCAGAAATAGCGTGATGAAATGCTTCCACTAGTCCACGCTTTTTGGCCTGAGGTACCAGTGTAGGCCAGTCAGATCTCAATGTGGACAGCTCTCGGTCATGTCGAGATTTTTGCTGGACTCTCTTACCTCGACGTAATCGCTTCAAGTACGACCGAAGATGCTTACGTAGAGTAGCAATACCGTCCGAAGTAGAGAATTCAACCCGATGCATTTGGAGAACACGCCTCAATGGACGTTTAGACAGACTCTTAACCACACTTGCTAGTATATTTATTTGAGCCAGCTCGAGATCTACTGACATCGAATGACCCAGATCCATAGACGGGATGTCCGAGTCTACGTTACTAGCTTCGGATAAGGCAAGAAGAGAAGCACAGCCCAGATGCCTGTAGCCAGACCTATGAAGTCCACAAGAACCGCTGCCGAGATGAGCGGAAAGAATATCTCTGCATTCGGGGACTTTTTTACCAGTCAAAACAATGCCATGCAAAGCCCCGAGTGAAATAAGAGCCGGTCTGGGTAATCTGGTAACACCCTCAAAGTGAGAAACCGAGGGGTGAGAAACGGAGTGTTGCGACAGGACCGCAGCGCGTCTCATTAAAAGAGTTTGTTGAAGCTCAGAGGGGGAAACTCCTAATGTATGAGACAATAACTTGGATTGACGATCCGAAAGAAGGGAAGCAGCCAGAAGGATACTATACGCAGTATAGCTCATATGATGAACCGACGAAAACTGAGACCCCAGAGATCTACAACCATCATGGGGTAATGCCAAACCACCAAGCGGAAGAGTAGAAGCACACATACCAGACAACAGATGAAAAGCCAACGCTTTCCGTGCATCGGAGGTAGATAAACCAGCGGAAGGAATTCCGTGCAGGGATAGATGGGAATCAAGGCAAGAATCTTCGCCTACTAGCACATTATCTAGGGGTTCTGGCGACAAAAAAAGCACATCCAAACCTCTAACAGGATACACAGGTCCAGATTTTGCATGTCTTATAGATGAACCGGCCTGTCGCACATTATTATTATTGGAGACAGCGGATGGGGCATTATCAGATTCATTAACAGACATGGGAACAGGTGGATGGTAAACAGATGGATAACTCTGTGCGTACACAGGTGGATAACTATGCGCGTACGCAAGCTGACCGTGCGCGTGCGCAGGTGGATAACTATGCGCGTGCGCGTGCGCAGGCAAATGGCAATGTCCATGCGCGTACGCAGACATATGACCATCGGGCGTACGGCTGGAATCCGTGTGGCCCGTGGGCTCTAATTCTGAGCATGAAAAGGAAATACGAGAATTTAAAATAAAATAAAAACGAAATTGCAATGGCAACATACCAGCGGATGAATTCCAAGGCGTACCAGCGGCAAGACCGTCGTAGACAGGCTGTAGAAGCTCTGGGCAGAATATTAAAATATTGAAAAGGAACCAAAGAAATATAGCAACACACCCCAGGGCTGAGACAGGGAACCGCCGGCGCCGGACGTGACGTCGACAGAGCGTTGAGTTTCTGTGTTTAACTTAGAGTAGTATCAAATAATGAAAGAGAGGAGGCGTACCAGAGAACGACGACGACCTATGACGACGTGACAGCCCCGCAACCGCTAAACAACAGCCAAACAAAAGTTAACCCGAGGAGGAGGAGTAAAAATCAACATAAACTAACTGTTATCAAGGGCATGCAAATGGTCAAAACCATTCGAAGGTCGTAATCCAAGACCTATAAGCCACTCTTGTATCCCTGCCTTCCAGTCCAGACCCATACAGACATCGCTGGTGAGACCAGAAGCCACAGAGCATGCCAACTCGATAGTAAAACTCCCATGAGGACCTCCGTTGATGGTGAAAGCGAAACGGGAAGAGCGATGTAAAGGAAGCCGAGTACGGACGAACTCAGAAGAGACGGCGGTAATTGGAGACGTAAAAGACGTAGAGACACTTGAGGTGTAGACACCAGCCACCAAGACAGACATGGATACACAAAGCTAAGAGCGGGCAAAGGTGATGAGAGCAGAAAACAAAAGGAGGCGGACAAATGCAAAAGCAACAAGACCACACAGATTCACGTGAACGACTGAGTAGCTGTCACGTCAAGACTGAAATGGAGAAATCCAGATTAACGGAAGATGATTGTCAGAGTGAGATCAAAGATAGTAACAGCCCATCTGATTTTCATGGCGGGCTCATCAGAGAAGCGATCACCAAATCAACCTTTTAGCATCAATGAGATCATTACACTCAAAAAAATTGATAGGGCGGTACAGGACCCACTACCTAAAGTTAGTGGGCATGTTCACGCTGCCTTCCGCACGTAGTGAGCCAACTATTTTTAGCTACTGTACCATTCCGACCGAATGTTCAGGTGACGGTGACACCCGATATTTTTGATGTGTGCAAAAGTCGCCTTTAATCGAAAGAAAATTTATCGGCCATCCTGGACATCCAAAAATCCATGAACCTTTGGTCGAAATGGTACGTACAGTAGTGCTGAGAATATAAGATGTAAAGACCGTGCGCGCTGGTAGCCATGCAGCGAATATCCCATAATGCATGAGTTCCAGAATAGTCCGTACAAAGAGAGCCATGAGGTAGCGGGTCGTACCGCTACCAGTGCATTGTTGAATAGCCCTTCCAGGGAATATTGACTCAGTCACTCTGTGCCGGTGCTTCTTGGGATGCAGCAATGTCGGTGTTTCGTTGATTGACTTGCGCTCTGGAAGCCAATTTTGACCTCATTGGCTTCCATCAAAACCATATGTTTTAGTCGGCAAATATTCGTCTGCAGATGGTAAATTTCTCGGGTGCCCGCTCGTGATATGAGGTTGAGCAAGATATCTATCACGGTCATGGTCTTTGACCTGCCCTATGCTTCGCTCTCGTGGTGGACCATCCCCATGCAACATTCAGTATTGTTCCGGCTTTAAAGACCGTAGTTGGGTTCCCAGGAGGGCTGGCTTTGAAAACTTCTGCTCCCGAACTTGAGCCCAAACTCGACTCAAATTTTTCAGCTGAAATTTGTGTCTGGATGTCTAAGAAAGTCTGCTTCCCATGCTCCTTTTCCCGACCACATCGGTTCGTGACTCTCCCTTATGTATAGGGTCGGACTTTAAGCCCGAGCTAGAGCTGCAGGGACCCGAGGCCGACACCGGAGGATTTAGGCTCAGATTTTTTGAAGACTTGCGATTTCGGATCGGACAGCCTAAAGATTCAGAGATTAACGAGGAGATTTACCAAATTTAGTTTTAGCACGACGTGAGTGGGTTCTATCTTGTTCCCGATAACTTTTGATTGGGAAACTTTTTTTTGCCCAAATCCCAGAATTGCTTAGTACTGCATGCCTAGGTGCTACACAAGTCCAGTGACATTTCTACATATTCTGATGGTACTCTGCCATGCCACACAGTTCAGCGGGCTATATTTGTTATTTATAAACAGCTGGCTCTCATGGCTTTCAGCTTGGATTTGGCTCAGCTGTGGCTTCTCATGGCTTTATGGCACATTTGCTTTGCTGGCTTCCAGGGTGTCTCTACCACTTGCCTGCTTATACCACATAACCCAGAACAGTCTCTAATGCTTGTCTGAAGTCTTCACCTCTTGGGGCTGCCTGATTCACTCAGGGCAAGCCACAGTTGCCCATCTCATCAAAATAAAAACAAATCGAAAAAAAGGAAAAGTCGGGATAATAAGCAAATAGAGACAATAGGAGAGTGCAAATAGGCAAAAAGGAAAGGGAAAAATGACCACCGCAGGGGTCGAACCTGCAATCTCCTGATTCATGATTATGTATTCAATACAGCCTATCGTAGTCAGACGCGATGCCATTTCGCCAGGCGGCCATCAAAAACAGATTTACACTACCTTATAATAAACAAGGGGGCTGGTCGGCCGCTTTGCGGCCTCCCATCCCCTTATGTGCGTTTAACAAAGTCATAGGGCAAGTTAGCAGCAACATATCATTCAAAATGTTACGCTGCACTTGGTGGAACTGAACTAAGTTTGATATTTAGTTTGTCACCAGCGGTAAGGGAGCAAGATAAATTATCAGAACTTGGCTAACAAATAACACAGAAGCACAACCTTGATTCCCCTTCATTCCACTATAATATTTTAGTCTGTATTTGTTCACCTTTTGAGCCTACCATTCTATCTCATAAGTAGAGAAGATTGTCTCCCTCTGCATTGTAAAATTAACTGTTCAATCAAAGCTTCCTTAAACTCCTCTGAATAAAAAATGCTTCAGAAGATCCCGCCTGCCTACAGCTTGCCACGGCCACCTCTGTTTCGATGCGGTGGGAATAGCGCCAGGGCAGTGTCTGTCAAGAAGGATGACATCAAGTGCCGAGAATGCCAAACGATGGTTACCTATGGGCCGGGAGCCCGATGATCAAGGGCGGACAGCTGCCGTGCTGTACGACATCAGCGGAGTGGCTTCGGATGGATACACATAATTTTATAAAGAGAGTGACAAGGGCGCTTCGCACCCCACCACTTCAGCTGAAATTATTAATGTGAGCTAGTGTTAGGTACATCTGAGGAATGCAAGTAAGTAGTTAAAAATCTCTTATTGACCAAAGGTAGGATTCCCACCTAACTGAAAGAGAAGTAATTGAAAGGTGATTGTGCAGGAACAGGCCGTGACTTCTCAGTCACTTAAGGCTTTGGACAGACACATATTATTTTATAAAGATGTACGGAATTATATACATACTAGTAAGGACTCCTGCTTCGCTACAAATATAATTGAGAGTGTAAACAACAGACATTGAAAACCAAAGCACCTTCCATCCCAGTGATAAGCCATGTTTTGAAGCATGCATGAAAACATGAAAAATGGAGCACTATTGGTGGGCTGTACATGGAATGTGTATGCCTCTACATATAAGTGAATACAACATGTAGTGTCAGACACTAAGGGCATAGACAAAACATGTAGTCTATAGTTCTTGAGCGGTTGCTTATCGGGAACCGTCCATACCTGAAAGGACTATCCAGCAAAAGGGAGGACAGACACTATCACAAAACAACTAGTGGATAGTCTGGACCCTCTATCTTATCTAGAAACACGACCACACTGTGGAATATGACTATATCCTACTGGCAGATGCGGCGATTAAGCTTTGATCGGACATCATCAATATGATCATGATCTTCTGAATTGGGAAGATCAGAGTTCAGCTTAAGGTTTTGAGCCAGGCACTGGTCCTACCCATGGACTTAGGGGTATCCAAAGAAAGCTACTGAGTTGTAGAACTCAATTCTGGATGCTCTGCTTGAGGGAGAGGCCTGCACAGTTAAAGAGACAGGCTTTATCACTCATTTAGGAGTGTGGTCCATGTGCATCAGACCAAACACAAACAATGTTGGTGGACCCACATTTGTTTCTCCCTCTCCCTCTTTCCTGCCCTTGCCTCCACCTCTCCTCATTCTTCACAAATATCGGTAACCTGGACCAAGCTTTTCAACCATATGCAATCTCAGTGACTGTCATGAGTTACATTTTCATGACTAGTGGAGAACCCGATCCCAGGTTATCCACCCAAAACCCCGGCATATTATTTAAAGCAACGACAGTTCAGGGACAGAGAGACAGAGATGAAGACAGGGACGAGTTATAGATAATGCGCCCCTCTTCACTTTGTTTGCTTTGCATTAACCCTGATGGCGGGAATCCTGCTAGGAGTGTTCCTAGTGGGAACCCTATACTTGAAAGATTGCCCTGGCAATCCAATGGTTACTCCCTGACCCCTGCTCCTCACAATACAATCGGAACCCTATAGATTATGGTATATAACCTATGGTATAATCCTGTACCAGTAGATTCTACCTTGTCTAATCTCAGGCATTATCTTTCTCTGCGGGTATCATACTGCATTCAACTCTTTTTGTGTGCCACCCCAGACTACTCACAGGGGAATCTGCCCTCCTAACGAGGAGGTTGTGAAACTGCTCCAACTCCTCGGCGATCACACCAGTTACTGAAATTGTCGAGTTAAATCCCAGCTGGGATATCACACACTGGGTTCTGTCAAGCCAACCTAAAAGCCGTTGCTGACAGTGACACCAAGACACTGCAAGTCTGGCCAAGGGCCCCAATATGCAACCTGTTAACAGAGTCCACAAGGTCCGGCTGCTTTCAAGTTCTCTTCCAAACACGCAAAATATATGCCTCCGATCTTCAAAATGGCCTTAGCAAGCTATCAAGCATAATTCTCCCTGAAGCACTTGTGCACAAGATCTTGATCAAACAAATGGCTGATATGCGAACACTCTGGCTTGCATCACTTACATGTCACCGGGTTTGCACAACTCCCTCAAACATTCAACATCCCATCAGCTGACTGGCATTAGAGAGTACAACATGTAGTCAGTATCATGCATTTAATTGGTTCATTATTTTATTTTATTCTGGTTTACTGGATTGGGCAAAGTGAAGTTGCCACAATACCAATGAAACCAGAAAAAATGTTTGGGATAACATCTCTCAAAAATTCAAGTTTGACAAGCCTTGAAGGATTTGACACTTTTTGTTTTGACTATGTTTTGACAATGCTTTGGCAAGGTTGGTCAAATCCATCTGCCAAACATTTCATATGAACAGGGGTGTTCATATCATAAATCTTTCCAGCAATCAGCAGTTTAGGAATCATGATTGCAAAGACACAAGGAACCAACCAAAAGTTGGTGACCAGTGTCTGCTGCAATCCTGGTGAACGGTGTGCTTGGGATCTGTGGCTAAAACACTCAAAACACAAAAGCAGCTTGGTGTGATTTGGATGTGGATCTCTAACACTAATCACTCAAAATACACCCTACACCTACCACTGAATTGTGTTTTTTTAAGCATCCAACATAGATGATCCAACAAGTTGTGTTCCTTGACCTTCAATTGATATCACATTCTTGGGTCAGGAGTGGCAGCAATCAGAAGCTGAAGTGCAAGCTGCACTTGTGAGCTAGTGTGATGCTCTGGGTCAGTGTTATCGGGAATGTGGCAAAACTAGACTTTCAACTGAAGGTTGAACATCCTTCTTTGCAACAGTTTGGATTTAGAGCGTCCAAGACTATCAAGCCCACATCTTATCACGAAACTGCCAACAGAATCCCAAATGCATGTACACATTGTATCCCTTTGTTCTCATGCTGCCAATACAGAAGCAACCATACTAGGCTCTATCTGCTTTATAGACACCCCCTGAGCGCAAAGGCACACAGCCCTGCTAGCTTGGGGGCTGATCAGTGTCTTCCCTCATGCAAAGCCCCCACTTATATACAGTACAAAACTGGCTTACTCTACTATGATGAATATGCTACTCCAGAGATGGTTTGTAAGTGTCCAAGCCTTTCATATCATTAATATGTATTGAGTTGAGTCAGAACAAGTCAGTGTGATGTCAGGGACGTCACCTTGTCAAGATGTTTGCCTTCAGATATTTAATTGAAACCCTTAGTTGTCACCAACGTCTCCTAACCAAATATCTAGTGCAAACCACACATCTCTCCCTTGAGAACAATGTCCAGAAAAGTTACTGTACAGTGTGATATGGATCTAGTCTAAGAGTAAACACTATGTTATAATTTCCAAAGATCAAGAAATCATCTGTTAACTCTTATGGCTCAGTCGAAAGGAAATTCTCACTATGAAGGCAAAAGCGCATGATTGTCAACCAAACATAGGATGAAACATGTCGACTAACCTATAAAGGGTTGATGATAGGTTAAATTTTTTCAACCTATTTCTCAGATTGAATTCCATCCTTCACATTTCAACCTATTCCCTACTGATATGTCGCCAGGCGTTTCTCCCCATTATATCAACCTACGCCGATGTCAACCTATCATAGGTTGAATATGTTCTTATCCGTTGGAAGCTGCCCATTTTCACCGCAAACAATGTAGATGTCTCTCGCCACCATGGAATAAAGGGGGGCACTGCAGAATTAGCACAATACCTTGCTGTGAGAGACGAGCAGCCAACTCCATGTGAGTCAAGGCTGCCATCAACCCGGCCCTAATCTGCACGTGAATGGGGAGATGGTTCGACATCAACAACTATCAACAACACAACTCTTGCCCTTTCCCCCCATCTCGCCTCCGCCTCTGGCTCTGCCTGGTTGCCTCGCCATCCTCCCTGATCCCTGCGACCATATAGGCCTACCGGCATGCTATGGGTCACCGACTCCTCGAATTGCGTGTGTAGGACCGCTTAAATCGATGTGCGCATGGACGACAGGTAGACAGACAGATGGGGACGGTGCTTGTTTGTCGTCTATGGTGTGTCACCATCCCCTCCTCTCAGATTTCTGCTCATTCTCCCCTGATTTCCGACGCTCAAGTGACCCGTGCACGACGATTAGAGAAGGGGGAAATGGTCTAGCGAGAAGTTCTGTGTTTTTGGTGCGTCACCACCGGCTTCTGTGCGATGGTTGCTAACCATTTGCTCAATATGCCTCCTGGATTCACCTCCAGCCGCCATGCGGCGTCATCGCGTCGAGAATAGTGTGCGCAGCTTAATGGATGAAATTGTGTTTACCTGAGAGACGACAATGATGAGTCCCACCTTCATCTTACACCTTACACGTGTGGTGATTCATTTGGACCGTATACGGCATGTATTGCGACGCAGCTCGTCACGATTTTCCTCCGTGCCCAAGGTACATGTTCTGCCTCTGGTCATCCTTCTTGTTTATTATTCTGTGCTCAGTCTACCTGCACAGATCAGCCAATCCCGCCTACACAGCGAGATCAAAGTTTTTCCATCGTTTTGCTTTCCAATACAAGTTGATGCGCACCCTCCGCAGCTTTCCTGCAGGCTCCGTGTGCGCCCTACCCCATCGTG